CTTGCAAAACTGTTGACCGCTCAGCTGCCCACACGTGTTGGAGCAAGATTACAGCGAGGAGTCCCCGTTTTTTGATGCTATCATTCGGTTTTATATACTAAAAGAAACCACTATTCTCTGTACGGCTTGGAGAACATTTTGGACAGGAGGACTAGGGGTGATTCTACCTCAGTACACTCTTAACTTTATTTATAGCCCCATCCGTTCCTTTTTTGACTCATGAATGTTTAAACATCCGCGAGGTATATGCACCGCGATCGTGCTTTTATTATTTTATGCTTATGCTACCGTGAGAGTGACCTATTTTCTGTGTACTAATGCGAAGTTAGTTCTTAGCCTTTTACTCACAGCTGTCGAAGCTAAATTTTTCCACTCTACGGAACCGTATAGGACTTCATTTCAATGTAATGTTGGCGCAGATATTTTCGCAGCTATGCACCTACATCGTTTGGATTACGCTGGTCAAAATTTGTCGCTCCTTAGTTACCTTCATTGCGCATACTACCGATGTCTATGCTTTTAACTAAAGTGCATTTTTTAGAGAATACTGAAAGATTATTTAATGACAATAAAATTGTGGAAGCCATCGAAAACTATGAAAAAAGAATGCGATACAATACAAGCAAACATGCGAGTCCCAGGAAGTAATTGCGAAGAAGACAACTTGATCGCTTGTTTTAGCGATTGAAACGTCTTCTTCTGAATGCGGGACAGTTTGTTCGAAAAAAACAGATTTATTTCTCCTGCTTCCAATTGTTCAAATTATGCAAGAGACGTGAAGTGAAACATGTTAGTCCATGCACTTGTTACGCTCACTCTAAGAAAATAACTAATTCGGAATAGGCAATTTCGTAAGTTAGGTCAAGATAATAGTCAAATTTATACTGGCCAACTTTTCGTTCGTCTGCTTTTACTCAGCAGATCAAAATTTTCTCTTTAAATGCTAAAATGTTTTCTGTAAGTTTTTTTAAAGTTGGCTCTCAGACAGCATTCTTGATGTTCTTTTAACAGAGGAACCTGATCTTAAATTTGATGTAAACTAAAATGACCAGCGATGATTCATTTCTCGCCCTTTTTGGGGACTTCACGCTAGACGAAGGTAAGTTTGTGAAATGAAGGCCTTATGCTGCAATAAGTTTTTATTCTGCGTTTTTTGACACATGGGCTTCCCTGCTACTATGTTATGCATGTTTAAACCTCCTGACAGTGTACGCCCTGTGACCGTAACTTCCAAGCTTATTTTAACGTTACTGTGAAGCAGTAATAGTTTCTAGGCAGTAGAGTGAAGGTGATTATTAGGTCGTCAGATATGTAATTTGCAGGGAGGCATATGGGCAATTTGGGTAGCTTGATATTTCCTATTGATAACACATTTTGATGGTCTTCGGCTTTTTTTAGAACGCCGTCGCGTATATTTCGTGTTGCTGGATAATTTTGCACTTTAAACTATACTTATAATCGTTTTTATTATTCCTGCTTAAGGACGGAAAAGTTGGAAGGTCGCACAATTATGAAATATTAGTACTTACATGGAGATACAGCCTGGTAGACAGCCTGGAATTATAATGGGTTTTTTTGTTTGAAAATAACCGCACCACAGACCGTATCAAATGGGTTGGCGAAATTTTGTTTTGGTAATTTTGATCTCACTCACGCAGTCGGCCATAATCAATAGTGTATAATGACGAACTGAAAGTCATCGAATGCGCTTACTATTAAACTGCACACAAGTTACCATAAACGTTTTTCTTTAGCAGGCAAACTATATTACCTCCCCTAGCTGAAGTCGGTAAAATTATAAACGTTGCAGTTGCAGATTCCAAATTAAATGAATGCAAATCAGAAACAACATCATCTGGAAGCTTGCGTGCTCTTGCTTTCTCGGCACAAAAGTAATCCAGTTTAAAGTGAACTGGAGCGTATGATTAGAACTGTATCCAATACCATAACCGTAAACCTTCAGTGTATTGATTAGATAAGGAAAAGTCACCAAATTATAGCCCAAGGTGTGACACAGTGCAACGAGCTAAACCAAATGATCCACAAACTTGCAAAAAACAACCTAGCTTGGTCAACCGATCGTTTGCTAGTTTTTTTTCAAAACAACGCTAGATCATATGCCGCAAAATTGGCAATAGCAAAACTACAGGAGTTGGACTTCGAAGTTCTCCATAATTAAGCATACTTATCATACCTTGCCTTTAGTGATAACCATTGCTTCCGGAATATGGATATATTTTCCATAGGTTCGCAATTTAATTCTGCCGATGCTGTAGATCGAGCCTTCCACGAGTTTATTGACAGTCGATTGTCAGGCGTTAACTCCATGAGTCTGCACTAGCTACCGCTGAAACGACAATGGTGTATTGACCATATGGGTGAATGCTTTGCTGAACAAAATTATTCATTGCATTTACCAAACAATAGCATGGTTTATTCTATAAATATCACGAATGACGGTCACATACTGGTCCTTTAATGACAGACATTCGCTTTGCAGCCTCCTGGCTGTACAGAAGACTTGAGCTCTTCCCGCCAATGTACAAATGGATCTAGAAGTTTCGCAACCATGCACCTACCTTATTTAGAAAATGTTCCAGGACTCCACTAACTTTGTTATATTAGCCGGTTAGGGGTTATCCTATACTAGTTACCGACATTTTTAGTAGTCAAATTTGTCTAGAAATAAAGGTAGTGGGTATTTTATAAGGAGAGGATGATGGAAGCAAATATAAAATATGAAGGGAAGAAGATTTATCAACCTTTATATCGAAAAGATTGCTTTATTTTTAAGGAGACGATTTTTAACAAACGTAAAAGGATGCCATCTAGAAAAAAATTAATTTTTACGTCCTTTTCGCTGTAACGAAAAAAAGATACTTGAATGAGATGTCGCAATTTCGCTAAGTTAAATTATAACCCACTGGTGATAGACAAATTTTCCCCGCCCATCTTTTCAATCACTAGCTAGTAGCCAGTAGATGGACTGATGATTTCTCTAAATTCCAAATTCTTCTGTGTAATATGCGTGGACTTTTTTCTGGCTTTTTGTCTTCAGTAGATTTATGCAGCTTTTGACCATAACCAAAGATTTTGATGTTCGATTCACAGTTTAACCGGATTTTTAACTTTATATTAATCAAAACATGCATAGCAAATGTTCATTGATTTTTTTCTGGGGGAATTAAGTGAGTCTTAATGTACATTTCACATACAGTAAAATATCTCTCGTTGTGGTAAATTAAGTCATAAGGTGTTATCCTTTATGGTTTCAGAGGAAGGTAGTAATAATCGAAAATCATAATATGTTGTAATGACCCTCTAGGAATAACGTGGCAACGAACGATTCCTGAGAGAAGAAAACTACACAATCCCAGACTGTTGCTATGAATCGGATAGAATGGGTTGGTAGTCTGAAGTTCAGCATTTTAATATCTGACCAAATGAAAGGATTACAACACTAATGGTTCGGGGCATATTTCCAATAGGTTTGCCACCTGTGACGGCTGCTTTCAAGTTATGTTTAGCGTGTCGACAGAGTTAAGCAGCGTTACTAAATTTTGGACCTGATGATCTTTTATCCCAAATTTAGACCAACTGTCATATGTTTGCGGTAGCATCAATCGTTCTTATTACCTGTATCCTACTCGATAAACAACAGTCAAACTACGTTAAAAAAACTATAATTGTTTCAAAAATCACTTCCTCCGGCAAAATTTGTCCTAAGTCCAGGAAGAATCCTTTTTTGAGAGCAAACATTTGGAGCTCATATGTCCGGACGGTACTACTGACAATATCCCATCACTGTTGTATTTCTATGGATAAACGGTATGGCGAGTGCTGCATGCAAACTTTTCAAGCTTGTAAAAGTTTGATCATTACTCACATACCGGCATGAACGCATTTACGAAAACTTATAAAAAATAATTAACAGCATTGTGTACATAAGCTAACCACTTTCTTTATATAAAAAGAACTTTTCTTTAGTCAACATTTTTATACATACTACCATTAATGGATGGCTGTTTAATTAATATAGTCCTTTAAATTCCGGAATATTTTCGAGCGTTTTCAGTGTATTCCTGTGTTCTTCCATCGATCGGGATTCTGTTCGTCGTTTACGTGAAAACCTTTAAAATAAGATATGCATCAAGAACATTTATCGAAAAAATGAGTTTCTGGATATTATTTCTTATGAAGATGGCCATGTGGACCACAGTTATAAATTCCCTTAAAACGACAAACCAAATTGTCGAGCATAAAAAACGTTCGCAAGTTAACTCGGATGTTGTTATTTCTAAAATTAATAAAAACTTTCTATAATAGACTACCACTCTGAAAAGCGCTTAAAGTAGATATTGAGCTGACAAATTTTTCTGCATATTAACTTCGTCCGATGTAATGTCAAAATT